AACTAAAACCTATAGTTATTAAACAGGGGACCTAAAACTGATTTAATGTTATTATTATGACATTTTTCTTATTTAAGAGAGGAAATGGTTACGGCTAATCTTAAAATACTTTTCTCATCCCCTTTCTAAATGTCACCATATATACACCTTGTACATGACATATTACTACCGTCACAATTATCACGAATACCTCACGAATAATTTCTTTTACGGCTAATGCTCAATTGACTCCGTTTCCTTCCTGGTTAGCTTTACGTGCGCAACCTGTATACCAATAGGGCTGTTTACCGCTTCCAGTTGAACTTTACATCTAAAATGGCTTCGATATCTAACATCCCCTGTTGGGACACCATCCCCATGTTGAAGGGTACCAAGAGGAAGGCGGAGGCTCCTCCCGACGAAGACATTGACGAAGTTTACGCCTCCCATGAATACGCATTCACGTGCTTGGCCTGCCTGGCGAATAGAGCTGTTCAAGTGATTCAAGGTATAAACTCGGCTGGCTCGAATACCCCAGAAGCAGCACGATCGCAAGCCGATTCTGGTGGAGAAAAAAGCATAGAATCACTTGTGCCAGTAGCGAAGATATGCGAATCAGGTATGCTTTTAATATTATGGAAACATCGCCTGTTAGAGATCTCGTGGTCCACGCCCTGCAGCTAGATCAGGCATTGCAGTTCCTGCAGAAGCGTCGTACTGTCTTATACTGCTGAGGCCAGAAGTAGTTTCGTTACAAGATCCATCCTGTGATGTTCCTTCCCGGGTGTCCTGTGATATGCGAGTCGTGCGTCTGTTGTACTAATGCCGTTCTAAGGGGCTCATGGTCAGGTATCCAGACTGATCCCCTATACAAGAGGACTCCCCGACCTTCTATCTCACAGTCAACGGCTTGTACGTCAATCCCTAGGCCGGGGGGTAATGCTCTGTCTCCTCTTGCAACACTAGCATAAATGTTGCAGTACGTCTGGTCAGACTTTATAGCCTCATCCCAAAGGTGTTGGAGCTCGGGGTTAGTAAAGATGTGCTGTCCTGGGGGTGGCGCGCTCAGCTTGTCTTGCATAGTTAGAGTGTCTTCGGCGTGGGCTGTTGGGCTTATCCGTTGTCCGGACCTTGTGTTCACTGGGGCCACAGTAATAGCGTGAATATCGGCGGCGTCATGAGAATGTTCGGTGCATGGTGACAACCAGGTTTCCTTGATCAGCTGGAACTCTCTATTCCTGAGACGTTCGTCATGTTCTCTGATGCGGTCTTGGGGACGGCGGGACAGGGAATCTGGCTTCCCGGAGTCTTTTCCTGCTCTGAAAGTAAACTGAAAGTTGTACTGGGAGAGGATTTCTGACCACCGGATTTGGCGTTCTGTAAGTTTCTGGATTGTCATGAAATGGCGCAGGTTCTTATGATCTGAAAGCACAAAGAACTTTGTTGCGACACTGCGTAGTTTACCCCTGAAGTGGACCATGGCGGCAACAATGGAGAACAGTTCCTTGTCGTATATCTCGTAGTTCGCTTCTGCTGGTGTTAGCTTGCGAGAGAAAAAGGCAACCGGGCGAAGGCGTCCTTGGGTATCGGTCTGGGAGAGGGTAGCGCCGATAGCATACCCGGATGCGTCTGATTCGAGGATTGTCTCGAGGTCAGGGTCGAACATCATAAGTAATGGGGCGCTAGTAAAGTGGTCCTGGAGTGTTCGGAATGCCTTCTCCTCATCTTTTCCCCAGATGAATGGTGCGCCATGCCTAGTCAGGCGATTGAGAGGCGCGGCAATGGTGGCAAAGAGGGGAATGAACTCCCTGTAGAAATTGGCAAAACCAAGGAACGAGCGGACAGCGCTGGCGTTGTTTGGAGTTTCCCATTGCTTGATAGCTGCAACTTTGTCGGGATCAACGCTAATGCCGTCACCTGTTCGGATAACAAATCCGAGGTATTTGATTTCGTGTACAGCAAAAGCACATTTCTCGATGTCGATTTGGAGGCCCGCCTTGCCCAGCCTCTGGACGACGACTTTGACCTTATCCATGTGGTCCTCGTATGTCCCGTCGCTATAGATGATTACGTCGTCCATGTAAGCCGATGCGTAGACGTCAAGCAGGTCCTGAAGCATAGAGTTGATATAACGCTGGAAGGTTGCCGGTGCGCCGCAGAGGCCAAAAGGGGTGACCAACCATTCGAATTGACCGTACCTCGTCCTAAACGCTGTCTTCCACTCATCTCCTTCCCGTACTCTCAGTCTATGGAATGCTGCGCGAACGTCTACTTTGGTTACCCATTTTGCCTTGGTCAGCTGGCGGAGCGTTTCCCGTATCAGGGGCAAGGGGTACCGATCGGATTGCGTTATGGCGTTTAGAGCTCTGTAGTCGACGCAAAAACGTAGACCACCCCCTGGTTTGCGTGCGAAGAGCACTGGGGCGCCTGCTGGCGACGCGCTTGCTCTGATCCATCCCTTGTCAAGGTAATCGGTTAGTGTCTTCCGCAATACCAGGAGTTCCTCTCTGGACATGTCGTAGAGTGGTCCATAGGGAACCCGTTTTGGTCGCCCTTGGTCGTCTATCTCGACATTGATAGCGTGATCCCATCCGGGTCTGTGAGGAGGTACCACTCCGTTGTCATCGTCCATGAAATTTTGCGCCTCGTCCCGCAGGGCTTCTGGGAGTTGGTCCTTGAGCGAGTGTAGCGTAGGCTTGTCTTTCCTCTTGTTTAGTTTTCTTAACGCCTTGTTGATGTCTTCAATAGTAGCGGAACCGATCGAAATGGGGCTTTTGTCGCTCTTTGCTCTTTTGATCTCAGCGTTGAAGATTCTCGCTGTTACAAGGTGTGCGGTTTTGATTGACTTGATCCTCTCGACGACATGTGGATTATCCATCCAACCGCTCTCGCGAACCTTTACCCTGTTGCCTGGTGATCCGACGCGTAGCTGGCGCTTCTTGGCTTTGTAGTGGACATCGTTGCGCTCGCACCATCCCTTGCCGAGGATGATATCGTAGTGGAGGCCCGGGATGATATACGCATAAACACGCTCCTGCCTGCCGTTGATGTCGATGGTAGCGTAGGTCATCTGGTCGATATTGCGGGAAGACTTGGAATTGGCCCTTCGAAACTTGGAGTCGTCGCCGTCTGCAGCGAGCTGTAGCTCTCGCTGGCTGATTTTTGTGCGTGGGAGTTGTTTTCGGTTTACAAAGCTTTTGTTAAATGCGGCATAGGGCAAGCATCCCGTGTCGAAAAGAGCAGAGGTATAGAATGTGTTGTCTATCAGCGTATCTATGAGAAACGGCACGCTGTCTAACCTCTCCTCTGCTGCTTCCATCTGCTCCTGTGACGGTGGCTGGTGCAGATTCTCTCCGAAAACATCCGTGTTTAGCCTCTGAGCTCGACTTTGCTCAGAGGCTAGTCTTTTGACGAACCGGGTGAAATGCTGTCGTTGCTGCTGGCAGCCAAAGGGTGGCGAGCAAAGCCTGTGTAGTCACAGTCGCCAAACCTGTGCGACGGATTCTTGCCGCAGCGGATGCAGCGTCCAGCAGATTCGCGGTTGCGATATTCTGTAGCCGTGATAGGTGGTGCTTTTGGACGTGTGTCCCTCGTACGCCCGTGTCCTTGCCGTCCTCCGATGCGGTGCTCGAGGTTGAACAGCCTAGTCTCGAGGTTCCCGACAACGCCTGGCGTCCCGCCCATGTACGTGTTGCCACTGGCGTCGACAGCCCCTGCGGGCGTGCCTCCGGGGTCTGCGTGATTCGGTATGCCTCCTTGAGTTGGGGCCATGACATTGGGGTTGATTTTGTCGGTAATGTACCACTCCTTCCGCGCGCCCTTAGAGGAGTGGAATTCCGGCAGTGCCTCCAGGTTATTGGCTAGAGCCTGTGCCTTGGCGATGAACGGCTCGTATTCCGTGCGGGAGATTTCGAGCTGGTTGGCCAGAGCTCTGCGCAGGTAGGGGGCAAATGCCTCGGTGGCTGTGTGGACCTTGGCTGGCCCGGTCGGGGCTAGCTTGCGGGCTTGTGAACAGAGGGCATCAAAGACGGCCAGGAACTCGGCCAGCGGTTGGGCGTGTCCTTGGTGAACGGTATACAACTGGCGAGAGGCGCGTTCCTGGGCATCCCGAGGCAGGAAGGCCGTCTCCAGGACGGTGAGCCAGTCCTCAATACTCTATGCAAGGGACGGATCTTCTATACGGTCCTGGATCCAGCCGGTGATTCTGACCTTGTGGGACTCGGGGATGCTGCGGTATACGGAATTACATACATGCTGGTTGTTCCCGAGAGTATCTTGAAGTTCCTCGTTGAAAATAATGCTCTTGATGGTCAGGTGATGCGTCAAGTAGGTGGCGCGATCGCCGGACCAGACCGGCCAGTGTTCGAACAACTTGGCGCCGGCGGCGCGTTTCAGTACGAGAGGTGGTCCCATGGTAGGGATGGCAGGTGGGTTTGCGTGGGGGCCGTGATATGGCTGCGTGGGGCCTGGTGACGCGTCAAGGCCAGTAGGCGAATGATAGCTGTCAAACAGTGCCGGGGCCGAAGCAGATTCTTCGTGCGGGGTGATATTTGCACCTGTATTGGTGGTTTGGCTCTCTTCCTCTGTCTCGCGTTGGAGTCTCTCGGTGGGTTCAGATGGAACCTTCTGGCAGAAGTATTCATGTACAGTAATTCAGTGGCAGGCATCATTTCACACAACCAGTCCGGCTTTCCGAAGATCCATGCCAGCAAGACGACTGGACCACCTGGGTTGAATATCTCAGTTACGTCTATTGGTGTCGGGACAGGCACGCGGTAGCCATGAAACTCGCAGAGCCGCGACATCGCAAGGCGTGGGAAAAGCTGGAAAGTGTTAACTGGTCACAGTCCTCTTCGGTTACGACAACCGAGACAGCCGCCCAACAAGAGCTCGAGATGTTACAAGCAAAGAATCGCAGCATCCTCTAATTCCTCAAGGAGACACGGGCGTACCGACGGTCCGAGGCCGCTTGTTGTCGCAAAGAGCTTAGAGCACGGTGGGTTCTGGGACAGCTGTCCGTTATGGAGATGGAGACGAGTTTGTCCGAGACAACTAAGGATGAGGCCATTGGAGACTCGAAGAAGAGAAAGCGTGATGACAATCCGGATGATGCCAGAAAAGACACAAGGGAGAAGAGAAAACGCGAGGATGCCTTGAGTGGCACCGAGCCTCAAGCTCAGCCGAAGCAAAGAAGGAGGCAAAGCGGCTGCAGTGATACGGCCCCAAAACTACACCTAGCAATACAGAGTGGAGATGGCGTTACGTCTGGCTCAGGAGTGGTGGAATCGGCACTAGAATCCTTCAAACCCCGTCGAAGTCGGCATCTTGGTTTATATGTCAAGGCACAGACTATACCCCCGGAGCCAAAGACTGGAAAGCGAAAGAAGCGAAAGTCGCCTGTATCCAACGCGCCCCAGTCCATCGGAACCCGACGAAGCACACGCGGCTCTGTTTTGACTTAAGCAAATTGGCGTCTTCAGGCTTTTTTAACATAATCTCAACAAGATTTCACTTGACTAGGAGAGAGAGATTCGACTTGACATCATAGTGCAATATTGATCAATTTCCTAGCACTCTGTGATTTACGGTTGAGCGGATCTACCCTTTACCCGCAAGCTCCTTTATTTAAGCCATCTCTCTCCGGCGCTTTCTTGATCAAACCTGCCATTAAGGGAATATGCAGACCGCGTTAGAAAGTGCGAGGGTCTTGTGCCATGTGGTTTAGCAGGTTCAACGAAGATACGAGATCACTCTGCAGTGGTATGAGTACCTCCAGGGGTGTCTAAACCAGCACCAACATGCACGTCCCCTTGCGTCTATGCTCGCCGTTGACACCGATCGGCGTCCAACGGTCGATCAGGGGCTGGGAATAGCAAATCCGTGCATGCATCAAGATGTAAAGCCGGCTAGAATTCATCAACCTGACACCTGCCGGCTTAGCCGCGTGCGTGATCAAAGTGACGATACCCAAATGCACTACCCCAGACACGGGAACCCAACTGCAACCACGGGACGCGCAGGAGTGGAACGACTGCAAAGGAACGGAGTGACTTCAAAGGAACGGAGTGACTGTAACAACCACGGAGTGGATGTAGAAGACCGGAGGGATGGGAAGCCGATTGGATCGGATCATTCAAAGGGGGGCCCCGGAACAACTGCGTTGGAGCAGTCTCTCTCGGAACAATTTTAATTGTTAAGGAAAGCAAGCTATTATGGGCGGGACGACCATCTTCTATAATTTACTTAATAACTTGATCAACAAGCAAAAGCCGTACGACAGTACTCGCGACACTGTGAGATCAACTGTGTACAAAGTGACACCCAGACCGCAGGGGAGGGGCTGTCGACGACAACGACTGGATGGGAGGGAGGGACACAGACTTGCTTAGGTAGGACGGAGTGGAGATCGCTTGCGGTCGGAGGTCCAGTCAGATGATAGAGGGTGGGACCAGGGATGTCCTGTACCGATTCCTTTCATTGGTCAGGGGAGTGCGACAGAGCGGGGGCGGTGCTGGTAGACATCGGCTAGGTAGCCGGATAGTTCTTGGGACAGTTGTTTCTTCCCTCTTCCCTCTTCCCCTTCTACTACACATCGTTGTTCTCACCGTTATTGGGACAATATTATCTTGGAGACATATTCTTGTAAAGACTGGAGTCTGTTGCTTTAGTACTTGATCTGATCTCTTGCATTGGCACCCGGGGTCCAGTACACAGGACACAAGTGGACTTGATCCAACAGGTTGAACCGGTGTGTCGGTACGTTCCTTCTTGAAGCAGTAAGGGGGTCCGGTGGCCCTTGTTGGCCTGGAAGACGGTCGGGTTGACTGGTTGATTGGCACAGATTGAATGAAGCATGGGGTGCTAATTGTTGGCTAGGACCAGACTAGGTGTGACGTGACAAGATGGCCGCGTCCTCTTCCCAACCCAACAACACGGTACAGCAGCCGACAGGAACAAAGGGGACAGCAACAGCGACAGGGTGGGCGCTACCCTCTGGTTGTCTTTGTACAGTGACGGACTTTACCGGTCCCCCGCAACCCAGGACGTTTTGGTGGGAGTATACTAGTCGCTGTCCGCACACGCTGGAGGCACACACGAGCCTCTTCCTCCCGAACTTTCGCAGGGCCTTCAACCTGGGGGTGGGGTTCTGTCAGGTGCCCCCGGTGGGAGCGATTGTGTTCGATGGTGGTGAGGTATGTCGTCTTGATTTCCCTGTCTACAGTCCCTGGGATGGTGGTCCTTGGTGTTGTGGAGTGGCCTTGGGAGTGACTAATGTGGTGCAACAGGCTCGGCATCCACCCGGGGCTCCAGCGTCGGCAAGGGGCTCGATGTAAGGGCCCGGTAAGCCATGCAAGGGATACACTTTGGCAGAGAGTGGCAGTGCCATTGATAGTAGGAAGGCATGGGAGCCTAGTGGAAAGGATACAGCGCACTTTGTATTGGCTTGTACCGTGGTGGTTATTTACGCTGTGGTGTCCCTCTCTCTTGGACATGAGTAGTTCTATCTTGGAGAAAGATTGATTAATTGATGTGTTTCTTCTCGTGTCATACTAGACCTTTCTACACTTGACGATTTATTAACAACACCACACCCTATTGAATTGTGGAATAAGGGGGGTACGGGGGGCCCGCCCCGTGACGTGTGAGCGCAGCGAACCAGTTCAAAGTTCGGGCAACTAGACACATACCAGACTGCACTACAGAACTAGAATAATCAATCCATAGCAACAAACATGAAGTGACCAGAGGGAACATCACGGAGTGATACTACGGGAGTAGGGGGTGACGGAGGAACATAGACCGGAGGGATAGAGGAACGGAAGTGACGATGGAATGAAGAGGGAGTAGCACGACCATCCAACATACACACCACTAGATGTAGTCAATAGACATGTGCACCCTAGAGTCACTCTTTCTAACTAAAACAAAACCAAGAATGACGATAACCTTACCGACCGACTTTCTGACAATACAATCACAGGATGCAGGACGAACGGAGGGAGGACAACGGAGTGGAACGACGATAGAGAGACGGAGTCGATCGAACAGGGCCAGGATGGACCAACGACAGGAGGTCGGACTAACTTCTGGGGGGAGCCCGGATTAACTGCGCTGGAGCAGTCTCTCTCGGAACAATTTTAATTGTTAAGGAAAGCAAGCTATTATGGGCGGGACGACCATCTTCTATAATTTACTTAATAGCTTGATCAACGAGCAACAGCCGTGTGCCAACACTCGCGCACTGCCCTTGATAAACTGTGTACAAAGTGACAACCGGACTGCAAGGGAGGTGGAACGGACCAACCAAAGTGCAACGAAGGTGGGCTACTGAGGCAGAGGGAACGACAGACCACTCACACAGCTGCTCCTCTAGACAGGGGGGCGGTCGCTTGCGGCCAGACACCTCGTCCACCAATAAACGAACATAGTGAGACAATGAGTACAGGACAGGACGGTCCTGTACGAACAGACGAGCGGAGGGATACTAGTAGCATGGATGCCCCAACTTTCGAAGTTCCTCTCTTCTTTTTTTTATTCATTCTTTCTATTGCGTAGAAACACCGCTTCCTCTGCACTACTGGGTTGCCCGCCCGAACTCTTTTATTCATACTGGGTTGCTATAGACCATGATGTCTACTCTCCCCTCATCCCGTGCTGACGCACAGGACTCTGTCCGCTTGACAAGAACATAGAACAATGGATTGATTTTGAATGGATGAATGGAATGAAAGGACTGACAGATGGAGCAACTAACAAACGAATTGAAACAGGATGAGACCACGCACTGCGACCGACAACAGACGATGAACCCCACCGGACCAGAGGGATAGACAACACGAATGGAATGGGATAGACTGGGTCGAGTTCTCTTGGTTTCTTCTCTTTCTTGGGACGAGGATCTAGTATCCTGGGTTGGTGGGAACCAGGTAGAGAGTGAGGAGGCTGGGGGGACATTCGCTGCCGCTCTCTCGCTTCTTTTTAGGGGCCGCTCATAGCGCTCGGGCAAACCAAACGAGATGCTGGACTCGAGTAGATAGATAGACCCTAATTGACAGTAGGGATGACTTCACTGGGACAGAGGGAATGAGAGACGAAGGATGGCATGGCTGGCCTGGTCTACCACACTACACTTCACACGGGGATTGTGTCTTTTCTTTTCTTCTTGGTGACATGGACTGGCTCTATTTCCAACCAGGTGGGTGGAGAGTCTCTACTTTGCAACAGAACAAAAGGCAGTAGAATGACTGCTAGATAGACGGGTCAATTGTGAGACTGTGCCTGTAAGAACGAACCCTAGAATGGAATGAGTGGTGATGCCTTCACTGTATAGTAGACTGGCCCGTTGTGATCGGTTGTGCTTCTTCTGGATTACTGTGTTGTACTGGGTGACAGACTTGAACATATGTGATGATAGAACTCTCTTCCTCCCACTAGGATAATAGACTTTATAGTACCAAGATACGATTTATCAACAACACAACTCCCATTAGATTCCGGAAAAAAGGGGGGTACGGGGGGCCCGCCCCGTGACGCGTGAGCGCAGCGAACCAGTTCAAAATATGCCATAGATACTCTTAATCAATAGAACTACCAAACTAGTTAATGACTACATTGAAACAAACTGTGACTGGAAGGAACGATCATGGAATGACAACACGGAGTGTGGTGACGGAGGAACATAGACTGGAAGGCCATTCGAACATTGTGAGATAGGATACGAGGGAACATAGTGACCGTCCACAGACATACTAGACTTAGACAACCACTGTGACTACTTGAGCCACTGGCAAACCACACAACCAAACCCAACAGTGGCGATCCCCTCACAGACAGACACTCTCTCCACATTCAACCATAGACACGGGAACCCAACTGCAAACAAGGAGACACATCGACCAGGGGGAGATGCAACGGAGTGGAACGACGACAGGGACGGAGTCGCTGTAACAGACACGGAGTGGATGTAGAAGACCGGAGGGATGGGAAGCCGATTGGATCGGATTATCTATCAGAGGGACGACGGATAAACTGGCTGGAGCAGACAGGGATCGGAACAATTTTAATTGTTAAGACATTCAAGCTATTATGGGCGGGACGACCATCTTCTATAATTTACTTAATAGCTTGATCAACGAGCAACAGCCGTGTGCCAACACTCGCGCACTGCCCTTTATCAACTGTGTACGGGGATACCGAAGGAACGAAGGTCAGACCAATGAACGAACGTAGTGAGAGAGTGACAGGGTTCGTGGGAAGACGGAACCAATGACACAGCACGCTTCGACTACGGACCCTGATTGGGAGGTCACTTGTGGCCGGACATAAGGTCCACACTTAAACGACCGAATGGGAGACAGCCCTGGGTCCTGTACGGATGTCATAGACCAACAGACAAATGGAGTGATATAGCAGTGATGCCCCAACTTTCGAAGTTCCTCTCTTCTTTTTTTTATTCATTCTTTCTATTGCGTAGAAACACCGCTTCCTCTGCACTACTGGGGTGCCCGCCCGAACTCATCTAGTCAACCTGGGTTGCTGTCAACAGGGTCTACTCTCCACTCGTATCGTGCTGGCGCACTCGACTCCCTCCGTTTGACAAGATACACTGATAGAATCAACAGGTTGGTTTGAGTGAATACGCTAATGGAATGATAGAGCAACTGACGAACGAGATGAGACACGCCGACAATACCCTGCGCCACCTTGCAACCGACGATGGACCGGAGGGACAGTCAAACGAAGTGGGATGGATCGAGGGACCAGGCACTGGGTCTTTTCCTTTTCTTCTTCTCTTTTATGGTGACAGTCTAGTTGACTGGGTTGGTGGGAACCAGGTAGAGAGTGAGGAGGCTGGGGGGACATTCGCTGCCGCTCTTTCGCTTCTTTTTAGGGGCCGCTCATAGCGCTCGGGCAAATCAAACGAGATGCTGGACTCGAGTAGGTCTAGTGGTGCTAGACACTGATGCTACTGATGATAGTTGATGGGACTGGCGTGATAGAACCTCGTGGGTTGCATGGAATGACTGGCTTGATAGGACAGGGTTGGATGGAAGGACTCTGAATAGAATGGCCACTTCTACTTGGCAGAGACCGGGGATGATGGGGATGGTGATATCAAACCGGACCACGAAGGAACAGGGTTGGATGGAGTGAGACCCGGCCTCGATCCTGCCCCTCACTCTTTTGGACTCTCTTCTCTATAGAACCATAGGACTGGTAATACTTGTAGAGAACTAGATCAATAAACATGGAACCTGTGATAGCCTTGCTTACAAACTAGAAGGGAGGAACAGAGAGACAGTAAATAGAATGCCCTCTAATAGAGATAGACTTGGTAATAGCCTTATTTGAACTATAGATGTGACTCTTTCTCTTTTCTTTTCCTCGTACTCACTAGACGATTACCAACAACACCACCCAGGATTCAATTGTGGAAAAAGGGGGGTACGGGGGGCCCGCCCCGTGACGCGTGAACGAAGTGAACCAGTTCAAAACATGATAGAGATAGACTTAGACAACTGAACTACCTCATAAACTAAATAGAATAATCATCCATAGCAACATTAAAATAATAGGTGACTGGAAGGAACGACGACGGAGGAGGGTGACGGAGTCATCGACCATAAGGGAGAGAAGGAACGTAGTGACGACTAAGGAACAGCGTGACCATCGAACATCGTGAGATAAAACAACAAGGGAGCATCGCGACCGTACAATAGACATACTACATCAGTGCACCACTAGTAGAGTCACTGCAACCAAACCATCAATACCCACAGTGACGATACCCAACTGCACTACGACACACGATCAGACAATAGAACCCACAGGATGCATGACGATCGGAGAGAGTCAAAGGAACGGAGTGACTGTAGCAGACACGGAGTGGATGTAGAAGACCGGAGGGATGGGAAGCCGATTGGATCGGATTATTCAAAGGGGGGCGCCCGGAACAACTGCGCTGGAGCAGTCTCTCTCGGAACAATTTTAATTGTTAAGGTTTGCAAGCTATTATGGGCGGGACGACCATCTTCTATAATTTACTTAATAGCTTGAGCAGATAGCAAAAGCCGTGTGATAACACTCGCGTTACTGTATGGTCAAACTGTGTACATCGATACCGAACCGCAGGGGAGGTCCAACGATCAACCAACCAGAATGCAATGGAGGTGGGGGGGACGAAGGAATGAGTCAGACAGAGCCTGTCGAACCAGAGACACAGAACGCTTCCCTATCCGGCCCGTCCGGTACGATTAAGCGAGTCCAACGAGCACCTACCTTGCTGTCCTGTACAGACAGCGCAATGGAATGATATAGCAGTGATGCGTCCCCGACAGGAATCATGATGGTTCTCTCCTTCTTTCTCTTTTTATCCTCTGTTGGATGACAGACTGTACTACTCTCTGGAGAGGACTACTACGTTCACCGGCACGTACTTTTATAGGACTTGGAACGTCGCTTGCTGTATTGGATTATTCCTATTTGGAAGCAGGAGTGTGCTGTAAGACACTGAATCTGGTGAGGATGGTGATGCCAGACGTGGTGGTGGCACCGGGGCCTTTGCTGAACGATGTTGAGCTGTCCGATGGGGCCAGGAGGGGTCCTTTCTATTGTGTGTTGGCGCCTTTTGGGGAATCGTTGGGTGCGTGGGTGATGAGCCAGTGTCCAAGGGGGACTCTGTACTGCCTCTTAGCAAACAGTGCCACGGCCTATTGTTATGCGGTGTGTCATCCGGACCAGGGAATCGACTTGGAGTGTGGCATGGACAAGTTACCGGCAGGCTTTGCATTCTGTGTCCCGGACAGGTTCGAGGAGCCATGGGTGTTTTGGCGGCGGATGGCTGAACCATATCCTGTGATGACAAAGGAAAACCGAATGAGGTTGGGCCTGGAGGAGTCGAGTCCTTTGGGACCGGTGTCTTCATGGTCATTGGCGGAGTCATTGATGGCGAAGCTGGTCGACCCGCGTTATTTGACAGCATCGGATACTATTGGCGTACAGGATTGTTTATTGTGGGAAAAAATAGAGGTAGACGCAGATAGGGACAAGGCGGCTGTGGACCTGTCGCAGTGGTTTGACTTGGACCGGTTCTGTTTGGATCAGGACGTCGAAGATGGAATAGATGGGGAGGGGTTCGAGCCGGGTAAAGATATGACTGCTTTGAAGAGAGACTCTCTGTACTGAATGAGACTTTATTGTATTATGTACTTATATGTCATGGTCTATTAGATTTTGTTGATAAATGCGACATATGAACGACACTGGACTGACGTAAAACCGGTGATAGCCTCACTCACTAGCCTTGACCTGATACTAGACCTCTTCTTCCATGATACGATTTATCAACAACACCACCTCCCATTATATTGTGGAAAAAGGGGGGTACGGGGGGCCCGCCCCGTGACGCGTGAACGAAGTGAACCAGTTCAAAACATGTGCCCTACCAGTATACCAGACTACACTACATAATTAGATAGATAATGACTACACCAAAGATGTAACAAAGAGTGAGTGGAACGAACATCATGGAATGATCCAGTGGAACGATGAGGAGGGGACCGACGATGGACTGGAAGGACCAAGGACCGAAGGGACTGTAGAATAATAGAAGGGAGCCCCGCGACCGTCCATACTACTACGACTACACTTCACCACTAGTAGAGTCACTGACAACCAAAACAACATCAAACCAAAGTGACGATACTACAGACTGTACCCACACACACGGGAACCCAACTGCAACCAGGGATGCACAGGAGTGGAACGACTGCATAGGAACGGAGTGACTTCAAAGGAACGGAGTGACTGTAACAACCACGGAGTGGGTGTAATGGGACAGGATGGACCAACGACAGGAGGTCGGACTAACTTCTGGGGGGAGCCCGGATTAACTGGCTGGAGCAGTCTCTCTCGGAACAATTTTAATTGTTAAGACATTCAAGCTATTATGGGCGGGACGACCATCTTCTATAATTTACTTAATAGCTTGATCAACAAGCAAAAGCCGTGTGATAACACTCGCGCACTGCCCTTGATAAACTGTGTACAAAGTGACAACCGGACTGCAAGGGAGGTGGAACGGACCAACCAAAACGCAGAGGAGGTGGGCTACTGAGTCAGAGGGAACGACAGACCATTCACACAGCTGCTCCTCTAGACAGGGGGGCGGTCACTTGTGGCCAGACACCTCGTCCACCACTAAACGAACGCAGAGAGACAAAGAGTACAGGACAAGAAGTCATGTACCAACGGGGATACTAGTAGAATGGAATGCCCACGTCTGACGTTCTCTTCTTCTTCTTCTTCATCCCTCTCTCTTGCGCCAAGAGACAAGCTTGTGCTGTACTAATGGGTTGCTGGCCCGAACTCATCTAGTCAACCTGGGTTGCGCGACAGTGAGGTCTACTCTCCTCTTCGTAAGGGCAGTTGGATAGACTGCTTCCGTTGGACGAACAACGTAGAGGGAACAATGGGTTTGATTTGTTTGTCTAGTAGACCAAGTGATAGACTGACGTACTGAGGAACAGACTGACTAGAAGGACTAGGGAGCGTGCGACCGACGACACCCACAGCCTGCGATACCCAACCGAACGAGGGACGAGCGATACAGATACAACGGAGTGGTGAAGAGAGGAATGGATGGGGATCTCTTTTCTTCTTCGTCTTCTCCTTGGTGGGACGAGGATTGAGTCCATCTCCTTTGGCAATCTTGGGATGACACGCACCTCTCTTGTAGGCAGTCTGGGATGGACTGTGGCTCTTGGAGGGCACTAGTGGTGATGGTAGTCTGATGAAGGAACGGGTGCTTTCCTACAGACGATAACCTTGACTTGACGATAGTCTCACTGTTATAGTAGACTAACTTTGACTGGGTGGATGGATCTAGTATGCAAATCAGGGATAAGGTTTATGGATGAACAATAGCGTGACTGTCTATCCTTTTCTATCCTATTACATTTGACAGAGACGGGGTCGAGTTGTCTTCTTTTCTTGACCTAATTTAGGAAGATGAAGGGACTGTCTTGACTGCTAATCAGGTAGGTTAGATGACAGGTACGAACGTGGTGATATGGACATTGTGGTAGTATGTTGAACTTGTAGTGGTACTCTTGGAATACTAGACAGACATGGATGGAGTAGCCAACCCAGTAGAGTAGTTGGATGATGCGTGACTGATGCACGGCTGATGCACGACTGATGCATTGAGACTAGACTTCAACTTGGTGATAGTAGACACTGACCCTCCCAAGATACGATTATCCAACAACACAACTCCCATTCAATTGTGGAAAAAGGGGGGTACGGGGGGCCCGCCCCGTGACGCGTGAGCGCAGCGAACCAGTTCAAAACATGATAGAGATAGACTTAGACAATAGAACTTTACTAGATACATACAGAATAGCAACATTAAAATAATAGGTGACTGGAAGGAACGACGACGGAGGAGTATAGCGGAGCGATGAGGAGGGGACCGACGATGGACTGGAAGGCCATTCGAACATTGTGAGATAGGATACGAGGGAACATATGTTTGTTTGTTTTGTATTTAACGTGGGGGTAGCTCCTCAGTAGTGCAAACCACGCCTCCCAGAGCCTCTGCATCGCAGGGTTGTGGAGGTCTCAAGATAATAAGTACAGTCAGTCCCGCTCACGGGCCCATCCCCGTTGTTGCGGCGGTATGACCTTGGGGTCATCCATCTGGTCCTTCAAGGAAGGCTATCTATCGGGGGCAGATTGTTGAAAAGAACTTGCTCTTCTCCACGAATTTTGCCCATTCTGTGCTCCTCTCCCCTAAGTATTATAAACAAGCTGCCCTAGGCGAATGCCTAGGCAGTAGCCGATTTTTCCCCAGCCTCTTACAAAAGAAAATGTGTTGTGGTGTTTTCTTCTCACCACAGCTGCAGTGATCATTTGAATCTGTGTGCCCAAAGCGTTCATGGTATCTGGCAAAGTCGCCATGTCCAGATCTGGCCGCTAGAAGTCTGTGTAAAGTACTCCTCTTAAAAGATATAAGGTCTCTTTCAGTTACTGCATGTGAGTATACTTCTTGATACCTAGATTCTGATTGGTCTTTCCACCATTGGTTGAACTCTTTCTTGCCCTGTCTTTTGAGATCTCTCTTGACCCAAGAGATTGTAGGAAGATTTGTTGTGTCTGTTTCCAGCATGGCACCCTCTTTTGCTAGTGTGTCGGCAGCTTCGTTGCCATCAATATCTCTGTGTCCAGGAATCCATTTGACGGTCACTCCAGGAGTGTGTGCTGTGGCAAGTTCTTGAAATCGTAGAAAAATGTTTTGTGATGTCTCGGGTGGAGTCCCATTGAGCCCATCTACCACTGACGTGTTGTCCAGGCAGACATATAGCTGTTTTCCGTGTCCAATTGCCCTGGCTGTTGCAAGACCTTGGAGAGCACCATGGACTTCAGCATCTACTACTTCTGCTTGTAGAAGTCTGCCCCTTCCCCGGTATACTTCTTGTGTAGTGCCGCCTTTCCTGATGGTATAACCCCATCCAGTGCGGATTGTGCCTTGGTCATCCAACTGTGATCCATCTGAGTAGATGACAAGGTTAGTGTTCACGTTTCTCTCTTGTAACCATTGCTTGAAGAGCTCTGTTTCTTTGTCTTTGTCTTTGCGGATTGGGCGCTTCCTCCATGATGGCCTGGTAAGTATTGGTCTCTGGAAGTCAGGGACTAGCTGGAAGCTTCTTTGTAGCCTTGTTGGATCCTTGCGAGCTTGTATTTGGAGCCTGCCAACCAGAGGGTGTCTCTGATCTATTCGTCCTAGTCGGAGGCCGTGACGTCGTCTTATTGACTCTGCAAGAACTCCTGCTGGGGGAATCTGCGATTCAAAGTGTAAGATATGTCCAGGGTGTGTTTTCCAGACTGGCAAGATAGCCCTGATCGCCGTTCGTAGTACGGCATCTATTGTTCCAAGAAGCCCCTTAATGCGACATGCTGATGTCTCACCTAAGCTCCCAGTTTTCTCGATTCCTGGGTACCAGGCCTCCAGGCCATGTGTGAGAATAGGAATAACACAAGCTTTCACAGCCCTCTTGGTTGACTTTACTGGAAGTCCTTTGACTGTGTTGCATAGTCCTCGAAGGTGATTTGCTACCCTACTAGCTTTCTTGGCCCAGTGAGAAACATGGTCTTTGAAGTTTAGTTTCCTATCCAGAAGGACACCTAGCCATCGCATGGAATGCTTAGCTGTTTTGTTCATTGTTCCGTGGCAAACTGGGGGATTGTCTGAGTTCTTTTTCCGTGAGAAGTGCATGATCTCGGTTTTGTCGGGATCAAATTCAATAGCATTGTTATGTCCCCATTGGTTGAGCAAATGAAGGTTTTCAGAAGCCTCTGCAGCTGTTTCTTTAAGGTTCTTTCCAATACAGAGTGTTGCTAGATCATCTGCATATCCAAAGCGTCTTCTTTTCATGCCAAGTCGGGCACAGATTGGCTCTGTATACAGCATGTAGAGGATTGGAGAGACTGGTGAGCCTTGTGGGAGCCCTTGGATCATGTTGATCAGGCTTTGTGTAAAGGTGTCTACCTGGCCAGGGGATACACCCAGCCGGGGGAGTTCATGAATCCTGGTTTGGACATTATCTGCCAGCTCCTGTAGTTTATCGTCCGGTACTATCCAATGATTGGCCTTGGGTACTCGGTCCAGATCTCCCTGGATTGGAATGACTATTCGTAATGTCTCATGATCTGAGGTGCACTGAAGTGCATCATTGACTGAGGCTTCAGCCATGGGGACATCAGAGAACACCAGATTTAGTACATTTCCGTCATCATGTGTCGGGACATCTGGTTCAGAAATCAGATCCAGTCCGTGGTCTGCCATAGTTTGTGCAAGTATAGCACCACCATGATATCCTGGATTGCTTGAGTCCCAGGATGTGTCGTCAGCATTGAAATCTCCAGCTATAACGCAGCCAAAAGGTGGAGTCCATACTTCCAGAATGTCATCCACTTCCTGTGGGTTGTCACATGGCCGGTAGACACTGGCAAATGTAATGCCTTGTACCTTGACCCAGGTGATGTCTCGTGTAGCATAGGGCCGAAGTTGATCCGCTTGAAGGTATTTTCTCACATAGATGAGAGATCTGGGCCGTGTACTGTCGCTGTCCCAGGAATCCACTGGGGAGAATATATCGTAATTGGGGTGTGTCTTTACTCCCATT